GACCAACCAACCGACCTGACTCACTGAATGACTGACTGACTGACTGACGGAATGCCTTCAATGTGCATAAGTGGGATAATGGGTCAGGCTAAGCCACAAGATATCCAAGTGGCTGCCATCACGATGATGATGCTGATGATAATAATGATGGGGGATAATGCCTCGTACCGGAAAAAGAGGAAAGGGGAAACCGAGAAAGAGAGAGAGAGAGTCTTGGAACACGCACAGTTCTCAGTTCGCAGTATGATAAATTGTAGAAGATATCACGGCACGACTCCTTTGCATATATGTACATTGTACTTTATAATTTGGCACTGCAAAAAAAGTCTCAGTTTGGGGGAAATATTTTAAATAAAAATTATAAATATATAAAGAGGATCTAGCAAGGAAAGGTTCTGTCTTAGTAAAGGTTACGAAGACAATAGTTGCCCATGGACGTTATTAAAAAGGGAATCGAAAAAACTGAGATTGTTTCCACTCACTCTATCTATGGCGATATTTATAATGATTAATACAATTTTTTAATACACTCTCCCCACTTTAAAGTCCTCAACCATTTCTCCCGGCGTAATCACAACTGGAGGCATAAGGGCGGCATCCTCACTTGCTCCATGATGTCCCGCTATCATATTTTCCCCGCAGACGCTCTGGGCATTTAGCATTCATGAGATAATAAGAACAGAAGAGATATACCCAGCAAAAACAACCAAAAAACTGAAGCCAAGTGGACAGCAATAAATGATTTCGAGGCCAGGCCGAAACATGTCATGATTCTTGGTATTCTTTTTTTTATCGTTCTCTAACACAACACTGCGTATACGCAATCGTAAGTGAAAGTCTGGGGTTTTCTCTTTTTTGCCAGAGGCTATGGATAATTTGGGTTAAGCTCACGCACTCACTCCCTCTCGCACATATGCGTCCGGCATAATATCTTTCAGGGCAATTTTTACTTTGATCCATTTATGGTTCTGTGTTTGTTTGGCTTTTTTCGTTTTTTTGCTCCCTTTTATTAAAAACAAAATGTTTTATTTGACTAACTTGTTTATGTTCGGCCTTAAAGCTGACCCGCCCGGGAAAAGGTCCTTCTATCTGGGCAAAAAGGGTTTCTGATTGTGCGTATCAATTTTTATGGAGCGGCGGCGGCGGCGGCAGCAGTATGGGGGATTAAACGGTGGATGAGTGTGAATAGCATAGGAAATGAAATTCTTATCAGGCCATTTGGGGATTTCCCTTTGGCGTTAAGTGAGATAGTCCCATGGAAAATTTAATTTATTAAAGCGAGAAGCCAGAGAATTGTGTGAATTATGGCACCACAAACCGCAAAAAAAATATATAATAAAATAAAATAAAATATATTTGTTCAAAAAAGATCATAAAACTCATAAAGTATCTCAATTAAAACCCTATAATTTTGTTCCACTTTATTTTATAGAAACCCTGGCGCTATTGTAACTCAATCGGTTGCTACTTTTTCAATTAAAAGCCAACCTGGGCCCCCCAACACTTTCACCTTTAAGAGCCGTAAACCGAACCTTAACCACAATTTTCCATCACCTCCATCAACCGGGTGGATTTTCCCCCCACCAAGCAGGCCAAGCGGGCAACATGCCCCACGATAATTGAATTATGAAACATCATTTCGCTGTCTGCGTTAACCATAAACGCATTAAGTTCGCGTTAATGAAGAATTATGCAGATGATGTCCAGGTCCAGACCTCAGACTAGACTCCAATATAAAGGCGGGCCCCGTATAAAAGCCAAAAGCCTTGGCCCATTAGCAAGTCTGGTCCATTAAAAACTGCACACGCAAACAAAGGAAATGGGAAAAACGCTGCAGTGGAAAAAGTTCTGCAGTGAATTTGCTAATTTATTAATTAACCTCAAACAATTAAAAGGAAAATATTTTACAAATGCTCGGGTAATTAAGCCGGGCTACGGCCAAAGGAACGGGTGGTCTCGAGTTAAAGATTTAAAAATTCTATTAAAAGGCCCAAGGAATGTGTTGGTTTGGGAACTAAAGGAAACGGAGCAATGGAATGGTTTCAGGACCGATAAACAATGTAGATTGTAATTAACTTGACCAGACACCCACTTTCCACCCGTCCATTCCACCTGCCTGTGCAAGACAGTGCGTATACTTAATTGCATGCACGAAATGCAGGACTCGGTCTCGGACTCAAACTCGACATGAATGACATTCATTTTCGGAGCACCTGCCACTGTCTTTGCTGCACTTCCGTTCGGCCCCCAGCAGGAAGAGAGCCAAAGGATTCTGGATAAAATGGGGAAACCGGATGGGGAAAAGGGGATCGGGATCCATGAATATATTGAGCAATTGGGTCGTCGAAGCCCTCTCTTCTCTCGAATTTCATAAAGCATTCACTCGTCCTCATTGAAAATAATTAAAATGCGTCAAGCGTTCAAAATCAAGCAGCGTGGAAATTTAATTGTATTGAAACGAACCCGGTTCCCCATACTATTTTCCACGTTTTCCCCTCTTTTTTTTAACGTTGCGAATGCGTTGAGTTCCATTTGGCAATTGGGCCAACAAATGAGTTCATTTCTTTCTTTCTTCTCCTTTTTTTCTCTTATTTACCTTCACAGGTGAGGGCGTCGGGGAATGAATAAAGCAAATATGGAAGTTGGAGTGCTTAAAAAATGCAATTGATCAAAGGAAGAAGGTGGGAATTAATGGAGAAATAAAACAACGCAAAAGTGCTTGAGATTAATACTTATGGGGATTTTTAAACGGAAATTAATTGTAATCTTGGGCGGACAATTCATAATAAATATATATAATTTAATGTTTACAAAACTAGATTTCAAAAGATGTACTCTTTCTTCGGTAAATAACTTGAAATACAAATAGTTTTAATAACTAACTAACCATTTATCAAAAAACCTAAAATAAAATTAACACCTCATAGGTTTATTTTTTAAATTTCACTTTTATTTAATATTAATTCCCAACTTTGCCGCCACACACACCCAACATTCAATTACAAATAAAGGCTTAATTTTCATATGAATATAAATGTATCTCCCCCGTATTTTCGTATCCTTTCAGGCTCCACTTTACAGAGGACACATGCTACATTTCCCATGGTCAACAGAGAAAGGAGAACGGCCAGAGCCCAAGGCCACGGGGTACAGTGGGCACACGGCAGTGCATGAGGAGGCGTAAAAACTCGCATCGCAGCTGTTGTCATTGGCAATACAAATAATAACACCCAAAAAGTAAAAAAGCAGCACACACAGTTCGATTTTTTATCAATCACAAAATAAACACAATGGAGGGGCAATAAATACATGTTTATGCCATTTTTTTACATTATCATATTTATATTTATATTTATAGGTAGTACATGTGTCCCGCAGGAAGCTCGTATCACTTTGATATTGTTCAACGGCGGGAAACACATAAAAAAGAATTTTAATTTTCACTGGAGCCGAGAGGAGTGCCATACATAATTGAAGTAAAAGCAAACGCCATTTGATGATTTTTATACAATAAATAAAGGGAATTGCGTTTTCTTTTACGATTTGTTTGACATGGAATCAGGCAATACGTATGTATGTACATACGACTTGCAAGTAACAAGATGTGAATGTGGAAAACCTCGCTCTGCCGTGAGTTCAACCATTTTTCATTTCCACGGCGGCGGCGAAAGGTCCACAAATATATGGCTGTCTCATAAATAGGAGAGCCAGAAATCAATTGACAATTTATTGTTTGAAACATAAAAAATGAGCGACTGAAGGGGCGGACAAAAATCTATATTAAATTACGAGCCAGCCAGCAAAATGTCAAAATAATAATAATAAAACGGGAGAAGGGCCACAAAAACATGGGGAACGGTGTTGAAAGTGAAAGCGACGGTTAGGACACCCTGTCAAATTACATTGAAAGGGGTTTAAGGGAAAATAAAATGTAGAATGCAGTTATATATTTTTGTTATCGAGCATCGCAAACCTAACCCAAACCTAATTATCTATTTAATTTATTTTTTAACAGAAAAAGAAAAGTTTATTGAATGAACACAAATTCATTGTAATATTTATTTTATTTATATAAAAAATAATCAAGAAGTCGATCGTAAGAGCATCTTAACTTCAGATTGAGTTTTTCGTTTTCGTTTTCTTATGTTTTTTTACATTATATAAATTACTTTTATATTTAAATTATTTATTTGTTAATATTCTTTTACGATATACACGTAAGAAAGGGAAATCCCCATTCAAGAGAATGTACAAACTATTTTCTCTTTGCCTGTTGCATTCAAGGATATCAAATACACCCACTCAACCGTTATTTAAACAGAATGAATCCCCTGACATAGACATATACGTATCGTGCACATTTATATATGTACATTCATATATATATAAATAGGAAAAAAAAGAGATATCGCATGTGCATTGGCTTGACTTTTTGTGGCCATTGTTGCTCGGTTGCCACTGCCGTTGCCGTTGCTGTTGCTGTTGCTGTTCTCTGGTGTGCCCAATTGCCTTTAAATTGTACCGAGTGTTAAGTGGCGCACGTTAAAAAAACATTTAACGTTTTTATTTACGATATACACAGAGAGCAACAAAAAAGGAGCCACAAAAAAATGGCAGGACCCATGACAGCGGAGGAAGAGGCAGTGAAAGTGTTTTGTTCTGGCTCTGGCATTAGGTACTCGCAACAAAAAAAGGAGAGAAATACATATAGAAAAAATAAAAAGGATATTGGAATCGCTGCCGAATGGGACGGCTCAAAACGGAGTAAAAAAAACGGAAATTAAAGTTAAAATATGGCAGGAGCCTCATATTGGGGGTTAGAAGTGAGAGGAGAAAGTGGAAAAGTGGAAAAGTGAGCGAGCAAGTGCACAAAAAGCCATCGAAACTATGAAATGTATATAATAGAATTTGCTATCCGAATGAATGTCCTGTGTCCCCCAGTCTGTAGTCTCAATAGAAGACCATTGAGGCGAAATAAGTGGATATGCATGTGTGTACGGATTTTAAGTGTGCTTTGTCAGTCATAAAATTAAATGAAACTCGAAAGAGCTCAACCAGTGCAGGGGAGTTTTAGGTAGAACAATAAAAATATTTTCAAATTTCAGCTTAAGAAAAAAGTAGATACTATATGCACGGTTTTCCTGTCAGGAACATATTCCTTATTCTTATTACATTTCTCACCACTAGTAGGCCATTTCATCATGAAAGCTTGTTTATTACTTTATCGTATTTTTAAACAACACATGTATTTTCAAGAGAAGCAAGAGAGTCGGCGTGTCTACTGCCATGTGGCTGGGATCAGGCCTTTCCCCTCGACTTCGGCGACGTTGGACTCACTCTCCCTTCGTCTATTTGCGTCACAAAAATATCGAAAAATCCAATAGTGAGCTCCAAAAGGATACACGGCCTTTCAAACTCCATTTCCCCATAAAGCATCCTGACACTAAGAAGGTTTCTGAGATATTCAAGGGGTTAAAAGTCTTTTTAGGCATTTTGGCTTAAACCGGTAAGTTTTGAACTATATTTTAATGTATGGCTATTTTAATGATTTTATTTATTTATTTTAAATAAATTCAGGCCACTTTGGAGGAAAATATGACTCGCTACACATTTATGCTTGAGGAAACTGGGAAAATCAGGTTGCTTTAAGGACGAAAATCTGTGAAAAATGTCAGTGAACTAATTAATAAGATGAAATACATACCTATCGGTTCTGCGAAATCTACACATTAGCAGAATAATTTCCACGGCTATTATTATTACTTGCTTGGAGAGTAAGCTTAAGTAAGCTTCTAAAAATCTTAATAGTAATTAATATTGCTTCCCTTGTTGAAAATCAATTTCAACTTTGACCCCTGGCTGTTCCACAAGGCATTTTTCATTAGCACTTGTGAGTGCCCTATTTAATTTATGCTAAAGTATCAACTGCTGCCGCTTATGTCTGCGCTTTATTTTTATTTTCTTGGCATAAGAAAACAATAATTCAGCCCGGCAGCGAGTTCGGGCTGCTGAAACAGCAGAAAACCAAGGAGAAATTGTAACGGCTCAAGAACACAAAAAACTCGTGAAAAAAGGGTAAGCAGGAAAAGGAAGTGTACACACACACATGTGCGACTCATTTGCCTTTGCATTCACGTCTGTGTAATTTATGCCAAAAAACAGTACGCAAGGCTGTGGCCTGTCTCCGACAAACAATTGCAATGGTTATTTACGAAAATAAAGGGTATTGTGCAGAAACAAGAGTAAAATCAAGGAAAATATATATTAAGGCACATGAGAATATTTTTTTAAACTAAAAATAATAAAAGAGAATTGATAAATTTAAATAACTTCAGTGTTAAAACGTACATATGTATTTAAATAAAATTAATGTAGTATTTTTTAGAACTCGTCGCTATTTATTTTTATAATTTTTTTATAAATTTGATGGAAAAAAAAGTTAAAATCAATTGGCGCGTAAATACACATTTTACATTTGACACAGGGGCGCTCCCTGCGGAAAATCTCCGAAGAGTGCCGTTTCCACGCAATGAAAAGGGCAAACTATTTGCTGTTTTTCGTGGGAAAACGAATTAAATTTAATTAAATCTCTATTTTTTATGGATTTAAAAAGGAAACAGGTGGAAGTCGGAAATGAGATATCACACACGAGTGAGTGCGTGGCCGCCTCCGAGCAGGAAACAGGCGGGTGAGGCGGAGAAGCATGGTATGAATCCGTTATAGTTGGAGCCGGGTTTTTTCCGGATATAAGTTTTTAATCAAAAAATTGTCTTACATATATATATGTATATACACATATAAAATATATATTTTTAAATATATTGGCATAAATGGCAACTTGTAGTTACCAAAACAAACGGTAGTGGCGCTTTTGAACCCACCAGAAGAATTTACCGTTAGAGTAGACTCACCACTAACAACAAACAGTGCTTGCGTTTATGAAAGATTTATGAATTACCCTGTTTTCATTGATTGCCATTTCAATAATATTCAATTAAATGAATTGTTTTACTCACCTGCACTCAGTTTTAATTGCTTGCAAACTCTGCAATGCCATTTTCGCTACCAGCGAACAATGCCGACGTTTGTGGTACGGACCAGAATTACAGTGTTTATATTGCTTCCATTTCGATCAAATTATGTTAAATGAACTATCACAATCACTTGCAATCATTTTTAGTTACTTGGTACACTTGCAAACTTCGCAATCCAAAGTTATTAAGCACTTGTTTGCGATTTGCGACGATCAGGCAAAATTTCACCACGGTGCTAGGGATGAACTTACGACGCAAACAAGTGATGGTACAAAGTGCGTGAAACATCGGCAGCTTCTAGGTTATTCGATAGCTGACAGCTATATTTAAAAAAAAAAAAAAAAAACAAATAAAAACTATAACAAACTTCGAGAAATAACTACATATATCTGATGATGGAAAATTAATTAATTTATTATTTTTATTTAATTACTTTCAAGGTGTAAGCTAAATTTTTGAAAACCATCGAAGTTATGTAAACGTTTATATTATTTTTCTGTGATCAGGGTTCTATCTATCTTTATAAATAAAAATGCGGCTCTGAAAATATAATCCACATCATATAATATATAACATATAAGCCACATCACTAATAGATGGAAATATTAACATTTATAATTTTTGACAATACAGGTTTAATATATGTATCCGGCAGTTCAGACAACATATACCACCTGCAAAAGGGAATACTGTTGATAAAGTTTCACTTAGATAGCTTCATAACAGGTAAGCAAATCCTGCCTTATACCCTTAGTATCTTGGCACCCTTACGTTTTCATACTGATTAATTGTTAAATTCTATTAATATTCCTTTCGCACATATGAATAATCTGTTATCAATAAAAATCCTGTATATAATGTACTGTATCATCCCTTTGATTTGTTTTCTGACTAATACTTTTTATCCTATATTCAATAAGATCTCTCCGGACCCAATTCAGACCTACTATAGACTATATAGCAACTTTAATAAAAGGGACTTTACCGTTTCCATAGAAATACTCCACTTATTTCATTCACATGTACGAAGAAAAACGTGCTAGCTGATAGCATCGAGATTTCCTTTCTTCACTTGGTCAAATCCACACCCCTTTTCCGGGCAGATTCCTGTAGGAATGCCTCCTCCGCTAGACTTCAAAGGGAGCGTTGATAAGATTGTGGCTGCTGACGCCTTTTGAGTGAGAATAATGGTAGGCTTTTGCTGGCAGACGCATCTGTTTCCCATTGAGCACACACTGTTTGTTTCGAATTATAAAAAAACTGGATGCATCAATATATTTCGTCTGCTTCTCTTCGCTTCGCCGCGTTCCACAAAAACCAAATACAATTTGCATGAAAGAAACCCGGCTCTAGATGGAGGTGTTGGTGGATTCCATATCGACGTTGCTGCATCCAGTGTTCCTTCTTATTCCTTCAGCTATTCAGGGACCAAATATCTACTTCCTATTCTGGTTGTTGCGGGCCATGTCCTTGGGGAAGGAGCGCAGTGGCGGCGTACGGATGCGACGGGCCTCGCGGGAGCGATTGCGCACCACCTTGGAGTGAATGGCGCACGACACACAGTAGTGGAGCTTCGCGTAGAGCTTGGGGAGCACGTACGAGTCCCAGATGCTGGCCTCAGTGATATCACGGACGGCGGCCGCCTCCACGATGTTGCGGATGACGAACTTCTTGATCGCCTTGTCCTTGGGCACGCAGCGGGCGCAGTTGGTGCAGCGCACGGGCTTCACATGGCCGCGGTTGTGCTTGTTGCGTCCTCCATTACGGCGCTTCTTGGTCATCCTGCCGGCTGTTTTTCATTGAAACGAGATGCAGCGCACACACAATGGCATTAATAGCTGGGTTAGCCGGCCGGATGGCTGCCATAATTACCTTATTTTTTGATTTGAAAATCCACCAAGTGAAATCCGCGTGTTCACGCCAGGCGAAACTAGTGCGAAAAGGGAGTTGCCAGCTCGAAATTTTCGGGATGCCAGATCGACAGGCCGCACTGAGCAGGGTTGATTCCGAGCCGATATCGATGTTTTTTGGGTGTGGCAACCTTAGTGTTAAGCCCTGGTGAGCGGGCCACTATAAATATTTAAATTTATTTAAATATTTCATTAAATAATATAAAAAATTTGCCTTGTTGTTTCTAATTTAATTATTTAATATTTAGTTAATGAACGGAAATAATTTGATTACTTTATAAAGCATATACATACATATGAAGAATTTTTACATTGCTATCGGTTTTCGATAAATCTATTATTATGTATTGAAATATAATTTAATTAATTTTTTTTTTATTTATTATTTTTTTTTTTTTCATAAAAATAAATAGTGAAATTAAATGGACATAAGCCATATACCTTTTTTTATTCTGCAAAATCTTAAACAAAATTGTAATAAACAAATGATCTTAAAAAATACGCAAAGAATGTGCAAATTAAAAAAATATCTTTAAAGGGTGTTTATTTTTATTTTTCCTTTTTTTATGGTTGCATTTTGTACAATTATTTTTTGTTGTTTAGCAGCTTAGAGGGTTTTTCTTTGTACACAGTTTTACATGTTAAATATTTAACACAATTAATGTAATGCCTTTAGAATATTCTGACGTCGTCAACGGTTGCAGTCTCCAAAGAATATTAGCCACGCCCCTTGGACACCCTGCGGTGTGAGCTGCGCTCCCTGCGCGAGCGTGAGCGGTCCCGAGATCGTTCCAGTTCACGGTCACCGCGTTCTCGGCCACGTTCCCGTTGCCTCTTCGGATCCCGATCACGGTCCTGATCCCGATCCCTATCCCGGTCCCGGGAAGAGCGATCCCCGCGTCCGCGACTGCTTTTCTCCGCACGCCGATCTCTTGGGGAGGAGTTCTCCCTCCGGCGGGGCTTCTCGTAGGAAGGGGATCTGTCGCGCTTGTCCCGTTTGCGATCTCTGTCAATTGGAGAATTCTCCCGCTTTCGGACTCTTTCTGTCGGAGAGTTCTCTCGCCGTCTGCCTCTTTCGTTGAAAGAATTGTCCCGCATTTGGCTCCTCTCATTGGAGGAATTCTGTTGCCTTCTACCGTCGTGCCTTCTGCCTCCTTCATTGGAGGAATTGTCCCGCTTTCGGCTTCTTTCATTCGAAGAATTGTCCCGTTTTCTGTCTCTGCCAAAGGGGTTCTCGTGCTTTCTCTCCTTGCCAAACAGATTCTCCCGCTTTCTCTCTCTATCAAGGGAACTCTCCCGCTCCCGCTGACCGTTTCCGTTTCTGTTTCCATTCGAATGGTAGCGCTGTGGCGGTCCTCTGGCCTCAGGACCTTCCAGATTGAACTCGTCGCTATCTATGGGTTGTCCCCTGAATTTATTTTGTGTGTTAGTCGCCTCCTGGCGATGGTCCGTGCGCTGAGGTTCCGCGTCGCTTTCGCCGCTGGAGGAATCTGAAGAATCGGAGGAATCATCCTCCGATGAAGATTTGCCGCCGCTTTCTTCGCTGCTGCTGTTGTGGCTGCTGGAACTGGAGCTGTCTCGCTTGCGCTTGGACTTCTTTTTGGTTGATTTATTTTTGTCCTTTTTGCGCTGCTTCTCTTTCTCCTTTTGCCGCTCCCTTCCGACTTTCTGTTCCTTTTCCCGTTCTCTTTCTTTCTCTCTCTGCCTTTCAAGATCCTTCTCCTTTTCTCGTTCCTTTTCTGCTTTTAGTCGCTCCTTTTCCCGTTCCTTCTCCGCCTTCAGCTTCTCCTTCTCTGCCTTCTTCTCTCGTTCCTTCTCCGCCTTCTTCTTTTTCCCAGACTTTTTATTCTTCGATTTCTTTGACTTTTCCTTCCCAGATTTCTTGGCCTTCTTTTTGCCCTTGTCCTTATCCTTGCGCTTGCGTTTCTTTTTCGGCTCGGAGCTGGAATCGGAGCTTGAGGATTCACTGGAAGATTCAGAGCTCTCCTCGTCCTCGCTGGAACTCTCACTGCTCGAGTCAGAGGACGACGAGGAGGATGACGAGGAGGAAGCCGACGACGACGAGGAGGGGGAGCCCTTGGGATTACCTTGGGCGGAGGCTGGGGCAGAACCATCCCTGAAGGGGTTACCGCTGGCTAGGATCTCGGCATTGATCGCTGGCACCGCCTTGGGGGCCGTTTTCAAGAACATCCTCAGGTCGTCTGTGAGTCCACCCAAACCAATGGACGTAAAGAAATTGATGGAGAAGCGGGTATTCCGCGGATTGTCCTTGGGAAACAAGCCGGCCAGGCTCTCCACCAACACCTCCTCCTTGAGCTTCCCGTTCAACTTGCCCAGGCCCATGTACTCGGCCAGCTCCTGGAACAATATCTTGATAAAGATCCTGCTTGACGACGTGGTATCGTCCTCGTTCAGCTGGATGCACTCGAGGACATCCCAGCTAATGGCGTCGGTGAAGAGCAGGTGGGCAAAGAACTTGCTCACGTTCCTCAGGCGATTCGTGTCCAGCCGGTGAGTCGTCTGGTACGTGTCCTTGAAGATCTCCTCGAACGGCGGTATGTAGATCTTGTTGATGTTGCAGAAACGCTGGGCGAGCAGCCCGTAAAACTTCTCGTAGGTCCGCTGCTCGGCACAGCAGTCGAGGAACATGTGGCAGAGCTCGATCTCCTGGCCCGGCTTCAGCTGCATCTTCATCAGCTTGTGGGCGCACTCCTCGTAGTCCAAGCTGGAGTTGATGGTCAGGTAGATGGTGCGGCGCAGGGCAATCAGATTGGTTTCTGTGCTGTCGATGATGTCGCCGGCCTCGGTGGTCTTCGGCTGGTTATCCGCGTCCGAGCCGGACTCGTTCTCCGAATCGCTGCCTGAACCCGAGCCCGATCCCGACCCTGAGCTGGAGCCATCGTCGCTGCCCAGGATCTCGCGACTCAGACCCTTGTATTTATCCTCGTTTTCGGCATAGTTCTCATCGAACTTGAAGACATCTGAAAGGATATTAAAAAAAAAAGAATTAAAATGGTGTACATCGAGATTATCTGCCGCCATACGTACTTAGTATATCCTCTGTTTCGGTGGCCTCGTCCAGCATCATGAGGTGCGTAAACTGATCGTCCTCCTCCACCAGCTCCAGCTCCTCCACCACGGCCGGGTGATCCTTGAAGCCATCCTTGCGCACTTGGAACAGCACCTCGATCATGTACTGCACCCGCTTGTCCAGCTTTCCCTCGTGCAGGATATTCCTCAGCATCTCGAATATGGCTCCAATGCCCTTGGAGGACACCTCCGTCAGCTTCATGCCGCATTCCTTGAGAAACGCAATGGCCACCTCCACGGAGTCATCGGTGGGCGTCTCCACCAGGAGGGTGAGGATCTCCAGCGCCAGTATCTCGTGGGCCACACGCTGGTTGACCAGGTGCCCGATGAACCGGGTGGCCGACATGCAAACCATCTTATCGTTGCGCCGGAAGGCCCGCCGGAACTGGATGACCAAACGCTTCAGCAGCAGCTCGCCAATATTCGGGAATTTCGAATTGATAATCCCCACGAGGGCCGCGTAGACGTGGGTAAAGGTGGGCGAGGCAGCCTGGGCCTGGATTATGCTGCGACTGAGCAAGCCCCGACCCCGCACAATGTTCTCCCGCAGCAGCTCCCTCGTTATTATCGCAATGTTCGTCACGTTGACCTTGTTGATGTAGCCGTGGATGGACTTCTTGAGGGCCTCCCAGGCGATTCGCTGATACGCTGCCGAGGCCTTGTCCGTGATCTGCGCCTGCATCATGCGCAGCTTGGCTGGCGGGATATATGCTCCTCCCGTTCGAGAGGTCAGCACATCCACCGTCTTCCTCTGACGCTCAGTGATTTTGGCTGCTGGTTCGGTCACCGTCTCATTATCTGCGTTGATTTTCGAAGATTTCGTTCCGGGACTGGACGTGGAGCGATCTTGGGTCCTGCGGTCTCCGGAACGCTTCCGGGATCTTTTCCGGGAATCATCGCGTCGCCTGCTGCGTGATCTCTCACGCTTCTTTTGATGCCGTTTCTCGCGCTCTCTTTCGCGCTCCTTGTCCAGCTTATCACGCACTTCATGACGCCTCTGTCGCTCCTGGCGACGTCTTTCCAAGGAGGTGGATCGCCGGCTGCGGCTCCGGCTGCGAGATCGGCTCTTCCGGCTCCTGGAGCCACGACGACGCCGGCTACGAGGCGAGCGACTGCGGCTGGAGGTGCGTTGGCTACGCGGACGCTGGGCGGACTCTTTGGGTGGTGGGCTGCCGTCCTTGCTAGAGGCGACAGGTAAGGGTTTATCGACTTCCTTGCCAGGCGCCACTGCGGAGACCTCATCATCGTCGTCTTTCTGTGTAAATTAATAAATAAATAAATAAACAAATTTGAAAAGTGTGCTCATTTGAGAAGGATATTCGAGTATAGACATTTTTATATACTTAATATTTCAAAGATTGTGAAATATTCCTAAACTAATTTTCTTTTTTTTTAAATAAAAATTTCGAACTCACATCAGTTATTTCGCCTTCTTCAACGTGGTTATCCACTGCCACGGCTTTTGTTATTTCCGTGGGGGATTCCTTGTCATTTCCATTGGTGGTCACCACCGGCTGCTCATCAACCATTGCCGGTGCTTGTGGCTTTTCCTGCTCATCGGTCACACCTGCGGCGGCTTCTTCTTCTTGATGGCCAGGTGTTGTGGTTAATTTTCGCGGTGCTTCGATTTCCACTGCTTTTTCCGCTTCATTTACTTTTTCCACTGAGAGTGCTTCTTCTTGCCGCTTTTCCACGCCAGCAGATTGGGAAACTGTCGCTGCCTCTTCGCCGGCAGAATTTTCCTCGAGCTGTTTCGGCTGCTCAGGCTCCGCCTCACTCGCTGGGGGCTCCAGCTTTTCCTTATCATCAGTTTTATTCGCATCTTTGGCAGATTTCCCCGACGGCGGCGCTGCTTCCTCTTCCTCGCGGTCACTGCTGGCGGAGGACTCGCTCCTGGACGCGTCGGTATCGCTGCCGCTGGCACTGCTGCTGCTGCTGGAATTCTGGCTCGAATCACTTTCGGCGTCGCTTTCCCCCATCGCGCGAAAATGCTGGGAAAATGCGGAAAAACAACGTTGAAAATTTTTGATTGAACTAAAAAAAAGCAAACGCGGCGACCTAGAGCGGAGAGTTACTGCGATTATTCATGTTTTGTGGCAAGCTATCGATATATCGACATGGTCACGATACTATTGGTTGATCCACGTTGAGGGTATCACAAAATGTTCCATTGAAAAACATAATAATTTCATTACATGTATAGTTATAAGTATTAAAAATTATAGCCTTAATTAATTATTTAAATTATTTTAGCAACAAACAGCTTTAATTTATATGAGTCACCTAGTCGATATTTTCAGCGAGGTCGATAGTAGGGAATACACCAAATGTGTAAAGAATACCCTAAATGTTTTACTTCGAATATGTGTTATCGAACTGTCGATATGTCGATCACCTCTATAAAAAGAGGGAAAATACGTGTCCTGCAATGCAATTTCAAAATCAATTTAAGTTTACGCGTTGATCCCTCTTGACCCCTCGGCGCCGTGCAAAGGTTAACATCATTCTGTATTGACATCAAAGTGTATTGATCAGACATTGCAAAAACGTCGCCGGTGCCACAACATACATATGATATATGTGTATGCATGTATGTGTGTATGACACTGAGGCATATATGTAAATAAGTAAAGATACAGATCGCATCTCAACATCTTTCCTGAAAAACCCTTGTGATCACCCGTCGATTGGTCTGCCTGACATCAAAGTGTATCCATCAGTCAAGGCCATAGTTTCATTTATCTCAGAGGACGCAGCGGCCACCAACCATGGACGTGTGAGTAAATATGAACACACATATGTACTACATATGTACATGTGTAGATCGCACCTCAAGACTCCTGGAAAACCCCTCTCTTAATATGAAAATTCCTTCAACTTTAGGATAATCTGTCGCTCATGTCTGGACACCTCGCCGGTCATGGTCAATATATTCGACAAAGCACCAGGACTGGAGATCTCCATCGCCGAAATGATATCCCGATGTACGCCTTATAAGATATCCAGAGGGGATGGCCACTACGAAAACATCTGCGAGGACTGCCTAAAATGTGCAAAAACTGCCTTTGAGATACGGCAGACATTGGAGAAGAGCTACCAGGTCTTTCGCCAGTTGAGGAAGGATAAAGAGAAATCGGACGACCCCAAGCCTTCTTCGGTGAAGAAATCTTACAAGTGTAAGCAGTGCTCCAAGTCGTTCTCCAAGAAAAGCACCCTCAAGACACACAGCCTAACTCACACCGGAGAGCGAACGTACAAGTGCGAGCAGTGCTCAAAGATGTTTTTCAATGCAAGGGGACTCAGGGAACACACTCGAACTCACGCAGAAGAGCGACCCTATGAGTGCTCCCACTGCTCCAAGTCATTCCTGCAGAAAAGTCGTCTCAATGTACACCTGCGGACCCACACTGGAGAGCGACCGCATAAGTGTTCTCAGTGCTCAAAGTCATTTTCCCAGAAGAATCACCTCCAAGTTCACATGTTAACCCACACGGGAGAGCGTCCGTTCAAGTGTTCGCACTGCTCCAAGACGTTTTCCCTTGACTGGAATCTCCGAAAGCACATCCTAACTCACGATGGAGAGATGTCTCGCACTCACAAGTGCACCCAGTGCCCCAAGTCGTTTATCGAGAAAGTAAATCTCCAGAGACACATGCGAACACACACAGAAGAGCGGCCGTTTAAGTGCTCCCATTGCTCGCAGTCCTTTTCTCAGAAAAGTAATCTTCAGTCCCACATCCGCATCCACACGGGAGAACGACCGTTCAAGTGCTCCGAGTGCTCCAAGTCGTTTCTCCGGAAGGAGCATCTGATATCACACGGCAGAACCCACATGGAGGAGGGACCGCATAAGTGCAAGCACTGCCTGAAGAGATTCTTCAAGAAGGATGAGCTCAAGGAGCACGGCCGAACGCACACCAAGGAGCGGCCGTTCAAGTGTTCACAGTGCTCGATGACGTTTACCTATAAGCCAAATCTTCAGGCGCACATCACATACATCCACAAGGGAGAGCGACCGCACAAGTGCGACCAGTGCTCAAAGGCGTTTCCCAATAGATTCACACTTCGGGGCCACATGCGAACTCATACTGGCGAGAAGCCCTACAAGTGCTCGCAGTGCCCGAAGGCGTTTGCCCAGAAGAGCACCCTCACGACCCACAACCGAACGCACACGGGAGAGCGACCATTCAAGTGTTCCCACTGCTCGAAGACCTTTGCCCAAAAAGGTAATCTTCAGGACCACATGCGAGTACACGAAAAAGCGAAGGAATAGGTATTCCCAACATCACATGTAGGAGAACTCTTAAAAACAGTCTGACATTTACAAGAACAATGAATATTAGTATATAATATATGTATTTCAACTAAAACCTTTTTTAATATGTAAATATAAATTTTAAAATGTCTTAGAATAAGAATTTACCAAAGATTACTAAATACATTTTATTATAGAATTTATAATTTAAATTAAGTACCCTATTCGACACAGTCCATTCGTGTAACAGTTGGGTATTTTACTTTTTATGTCCTTTTAACACTTTTTGTAATTTCTAAAATATATTCAAAGTATTTTATATTTTCATCGTTAACCACATCAAGAAAAACATCTCAATAAATATAAAAAATATAAAAAAAATACATAAAAACTTAAATAATTAATTTATGGGTATTAAACTTAAAGAAAAACATCTTAACAAAAATAAAACAAGAACAATTTGAAATATTTAATTTATCCTTTCGTTGTTCCGTTTATCTGAATCCACAACAATTTATATTTTAATTTAAAATATACAAATATGAATAAAATGCATTTTAAATCGCTAAAGTGGCGCTTTCAAGAGAAAGCTTATGTTATTTTAATAAAAGATTTAAATTTTTGCGCGCTTTCCTTATTTATTCTACGGTAAAGTGACCGTATATTTTTGTACAACTAAAGTCGATTGTAATATGTCTATATATTGGGTAGCTAACCGATAGTATCGCATTCGTCCAAGAGATTTGTTTCAAGCGCCAATGAGGACCAGATGGCGTCCACTGGGCAGAGCGGGGCCAAGAAGGGGAATGCACCCTTGTCGGCCGATGTCATTATCTCCGAGAATTTGCAGAAGCTGATCCGGAAGCTGTCGCCCGCCGAGGTGAGTTCAAAGCCAGGAATTTCCAGCTAGATTCACCAGATCTCACTCCTCGGGCAGGCGAGTAGCCGAGAGCTGCAGCAGAGCGAGCAGATGGCCTGGAAAACGATCCGGAACCATCGCTACCTCATCCCCAACAGTCACGAGGTCGGCCGCAGCCTGGATGCTTTGGCGGAGCGTTTTCGGGTGGAGGACATGGCCGAGTTCGGGAGCACCCTGCTGGAGCTGAGCGGCAGGGTGCTGGCTCAGCCGGAGTGGCTCGACCACGACTCCTCCCAGAACGTGCAGTGGTCCCTGCTGGACTTCCTGCTCAGCTTGGCCCAGGAGCCCATCCAGAATATCCGCAGGAACTGGGTGCTGATGAACCAGCACCGGCTGTCCGTGATTTCGGCCCTGGAGGTGGCCGAGAGGCGGAGCAGCCGCACAGACGTCGCAGGTAATGATTCGAGGGACCCGGAGGTGGACTGGGCGGCGTTGCTAAGGGAGGATTTCCTCCAGCCAGCCCACTCGCTGGGGGGCAGCTCGGACACCCTGAGTGAGTGGTCCGACGACGAGAGCGATCCGGTCGAGACCGAGGCCGTGGAGCGCGATACCAGGCCGGATATAGGGGCTGTGTACGAGCAGGCAATGCAGGCGGCGATTCCCTGCACTGCCCCCGCCCCGCTTCATCTGCCGCCGGGTGAGGGGGACCAACCCAAGGGCGGCAATTTCCGCATCATCCAGCCGGTGCTCTTCGCCCTGGGACACCGCCAAGGGCCTGCTCTCCGGCTAAATAGGCTGCCCCAGCTGCCGCCGCTAGTGCCTCCGATGGCGGTCAGTCACTACGAGGAGAGTGTGCGGGATGAGCACCTGCTGCCGAGGACCATCCATGCCCCCTGGTGGCGCCAGAATGTGAAGACCTTTGCCCTGCCTGGGGACGCCGATCACCTGGATAACTTCGCCGTGACCTATGTGCAGTTTCTAAATTTGAAAACTGTCGGCCTGATGGAACTCCGGCCGCCCAGCACAATCACGGAGGCTTGCCTGATGCGCGAGATCCTGTTCATGTTCGTCCGGCCAGCCAGTTGCGGCTTCTTCGCCTTTGACAGGGAGACGCGACGCATTCGGGTGCGCGACCACATCAGCATCCCCACAGCGACAACGGTAGGAGGACAGCCCTTTGTATTTGCGAAAATCTCACCCTCTCTTTCCGCCTTTCAGTACACACTGAGCGGCTTCCTGGAGGCCAACGTTCTGCCTGCCCTGGAAGACATGCTGGAGCTGCGGCACATCATCGATGAGCACACCCTATCCTCCCACGAGGCCAGCACGGGGACCCTCGAGTGCTTTGCCTACGGCCTGCGAGACCTCGTTGACCCCATTTCCGAGCTCCTCGTCGCCTACGAAGATCGTGGGGAGGAGGCAACGCTGATAGACTTTGTCGCCGAGTTCAGGCTGCACTTTCGGCGGCTGCACCTGCTCCGTGGCCTAGCCCAGGATGCCATATTGGGCGAGGGACCCCAGCACCTGCGCAGCTCCTACCTGCTCTCCCGTCTCTACAGCCAGACGCAGCCGCATGTGCCGCACCAGAAGCTGGCCACGGCCCTGCTGCTGGTCTCCCTGAAGCGCTACTGCAGCATCATCGACGCCTGGTGGCGCCGGGCCACGCTCGAGGATCGCCATAACGAGTTCGTTGTGGAAAGGTGTGAGGAGGACGCGAGTGGCTATGTGCGCAGGCGCTCTGTGGCGCCGGATGAGAGTCCGGCGGTCAGGGAGAGCTTCGGAAAGCTCCGTCACTGCCCTTTCTATCGGATATTGCTGGAGCACGCCTTGGAGTCGGGGGACACGCAGGATCTGCTGGCCAATGTGAATCTGCTGGGCGAGATGCTGGCCAGCAGCAATGAGAGTCAGCCGCGATCCTTGTACGATGAGCTTGCTGCCCAGTTGCTTGCGCAGGTGAGGATTTACTGTGGAGGGGGAGGAGGATCACCCGAGGAGAAGACAAAGGAAAAGGATGAAGAGCAGGGGGAGGCAGGACAGAATGCCGATGAGCTACTGCTGAGCAGTGTCCAGGGCATTCGGAACTTGGATCTTCTTCACATATTTACGCGCCCAGCCAGGGAGCGACTTCTGGAGAGCCAGGAGTGTGGATCTGCTCCCCCCAGTGTCCAGGTGGGGGATGTACTGTCCCTACTGGAGGACTCCACCCACCTGCAGCTGAAGGCCGAGCTGCCGGACGCCCTGCGCGAGATCCTGCTCCGCCGCCAGTGCCGGGCCAACGAGTATGCCATGCGGGCGTACAGCGAGGTTCTCCACCTGGGCGAGACCACGCGCTTCCTGCGACACATCCTGCTGCTGGAGGCCTACTACCTGCTCTTTCCCTTCTACAACGCCCTCTTCGTTCGCATCGAGACGGAGTCCGGTTGGGCCCGGGAGTCTCAGTTGAGCTCGGACCTCTACGAGGTCCTGCTGCCCGCCTACCCCCGGTGCGCCGGCCAGCTACACGTGCAGGTCATCTCCCAGGTGGCCTGCCGCTCGCACAATGCCTACGAGGCACTGGAGGCCTTGGAGCTGTCCTACGACATGCCGGTGGCCCTGCAGCGCATCCTCACCGAGCGCCACATGCAGTCCTACAACGCGGTGTGGCGTCTCATGCTAAAGGTCAAGTGGGCGGTGTGGAAGCTGGAGAACCTCGCCTTCCTGCGACGCCCCAAGGCCCAGTCCTATGCCCCGCTGGACCTGCACGGCCTGACCATACGGCGCCTGGAGATTCTGCGTTTCTGGCTCATTTACCTCACCGACAACCTCCACAGCCACATCATGGGCGCCCTGGCCGTGAAGTTTGAGCTGCGGATTTCCGGGTGCCAGAACATCCGGGAGCTGAGTGCCCGGCACGACGAGTATGTGGCCAGCCTGCTGACCCGCTGCCTGCTAACCGAGGACTTTGCCCCCTTCCGGGTGGTCCTCGAGCAGCTCTTCTACCTGGTCTTCGTGCTGCACATGGAGTGGACGGCCTGTGCCAGGCATCTCGGCGACAGCGATGCCCTTAGCCTGGCCACGGAGGAGGACGGCACGAGGGACGAGTACTTGGCCCACAACCAGGTGGAGGAGATCGAGAAGACCTACGTGCGCTGCCACCAGACGCTGGGCGACATTCTGCACAAGCTGGTCTACCAGCAAGACCACGGCTTCCTCACGGCCCTGGAGGTGGCCGTCAACACGAGTGTTCCCTACTGAGAGGGCAACTTTCTTAAGATAATCCAGGAGATCCTTGCTGTGTTTGATCCTTCTATGGGTCAAGGGAGCACTCTCTTTCTCGGAATTTCTTGATTTTTTGCAACAAAACAACTAAATTTATTCTTTAGTTTACAAACTTGTTTAGCCATTAATCGTAAATACTTTTAAAAATAGACTTTAACTACAAGGGAAGCGGGAGGAACTAAGCCTTGCTGTCGGGTTTGTGGGGAACGGTTTCGGGTATCGATGGCGACACATCGTCGTCACTGGAGGAGGAGGATGACGAGGAGCTGGAGTCGTCATTAGCCTTTGCTCGCTTCTCGGGAATCGTGTAGGGGAACTTCTGAGACTTCTCCTCCACCGCCTGCTTCAGGCGCAGCAGCGCCGTCCTATTGATGTTCTCCAGGGAGACGTCCTTGATCGCAGTAGCCAGCACGTCCAGGGCCTTGTCGGGGTGGCCCTTCGTGGTCTGGATGTCGATGAGGCAGGAGTAGGCATTGCCGATGGCGCCCTCGGAGATCTTGCTGTCCCTCAGCTGGGAGATCACCACGCCGGCGAGCTTCTCGTCCTGCTGTTCCCGCGCCGTTTGCAGGACACGCTGGAACATGAGCCGCGGGGCACTGGACAGGTACTTGTCCCAGATCTGCTTGGAGGCCGCCTCCTGGTTGCTGGAGATCAAATGCATCCACAGGACATTCATGGGGCCCAGTTGGTTGTGAGCGGCGTACTTCTCCGCCAGATTTTGGTCTGCCCAGGAAGAGATTGGTTATTAAAACACCCAAGGTGGGCTCTGAGTTTACTTACACTTCGCCACCAGCTCCGGGTGCTTGTCCAGGATGCCCACAGCGCCGCCTCGGGGGAACTTGCCGGCCTGCTTGGCCGCCTCCTCGGGCGTCTTAGCAGCCTCGATTTCGGCGGTGAGCTTCCCGAGGAACTGCTCCGCCTTGCCGGCCACAATGTTGGCGTGGCAATAGCGATTGTCAAACGACACGAGACGCTTCTGCTCCTCGTTCAGCTGCTGGCCAATCCTCTCCAGGGTCTCCAGATCCCCGGCAGCCGCAATCTTGTTCAGATAGAACTTGAAGATCTTGGGCTGCGGATGCTGGTTGCCGGCGAGCAGCTCGTCGACGTACTTCGAGGCCTCTACCAGGCGGTCGGCGCGAACGAGGAGCTCGATCAGCCGGGAAGTGTCCAAGGCGTTGACCTTGTCGCCGCTGATGAACTTGTTCTTGTACTCGATGGCCGTGTCGGGATCGCTGGCCAGTATGGCTTTGCGGAAGCCAGACAGGGCGGAAATGGTTTTGGGTGCGGCCTCCGCCTTGTCTAGGGGCTCCTTCTTGGGCGAGGGCTTCTCCTTTGGGAGCTTCTCTGCCGGGATATTGGCCTGCTCCGGCTTCGCCTGGTCCTTGGTCTTATTTTTCTTGGCTCTGGCAGCTTCCTTTTGCGTCTCGGGGACCACAAACGGCACCTCCAGGTTGTTCTTCTTGAGGATGTCTGCCAGCTTCAGGAGGAAGGCATCGTTGGGCGTCACAGCCTCCTCCTGCATTTTCGTCCACAGGCCCAGGGCCTTCTCCGCCTCGTTGGCCTTGTCGTAGCTGAGGAGGAGCGTGTAGTAGATCTTGTTGCGGTCGATGTGTCCCAGGTCCCTGGTGGCCTCAATGAGACCCTCCAGCGGCTGCAGGAGTCCCTCGTTCTTGTACCGATCGCAGGCACTGCTGATCCGCTGGGGACGCGTCCTTAGCCCGGGCGTTTCCAGGATCTTCCGCGCCTGCCGCACGCGTCCGCACTCCACGAAGGAGAACACCAGGTCGTACAGACTATTGACTTCGCCGTGGATGCCCGTGCTCAGGTCCGTCAGTCTTTGGAGATTCGCCGCGTCCTCCTTCTGGATTAGGCGGCAGGCGAGCTCGTTCTTCCACGGCGTGGACTTGTGCTTCTTGCAGATCTCCTCAAACGCCTCAATGGCCCTGGGTATGTCGTCCTTGACCAGGTGAACCTTGATGAGGGGTCCCAGGAGCACGTTCGTGGGCACAATGTAGTTGGCGGCCACCAGGGCGTCGAATAGCTTGCGCAGCTTCTCCGCCTGTCCCGCCTCCGCCAGGGAGTTGAGGACTCTCCACACGGTGCTCACGTAGTTGAAGCTTCCCTCCGTCTCCGAGATGGGAGCATCCTTCTTGTTGTCCTCCAGGACCTTGTAGGCCTCCGCCTCACGCTCCTCCTGCAGCAGCAGATCGGCCAGACGCACGGCCTTTAGGTTGTCCAACTTGAAGGCAGCATCCTTGGCCCTCAGCTTCCCATAGGCCTCCAGGGCCTCGGCGCTTCTCCTGTGGTGCGTGTAGAGATCAATGAGCTGGGCGTGGATGCCGATGGGAATCTGGTACTTCTCCGTCTCCAGCTTCTCGATGACCTGCAGGGTCTTCTCGAGGTTCTGCGAGCGGAAGCAGGCGTTCAGCAGTTGTCGCTTGATGTTGTTGGCATTGTCGCCCTTGGCCTCCACGTTGACAATGAAGCGTTCGAGTTCTGGCGGGGAGGAAGTGTCGGGAATTAGTTTAGTATATTGATCCCTCAGAGGGGGTCACCACTCACCATCAATGGACAGCGAGTCCAGGCTGCGCTTGGCACTGTTGGGCAGCGGCACCGGCTCCAGCTCCCCCGAGCTCAGCCTGCCCAACAGCTCCGAGATCCTGGGCGTCAGCTCAGAGCCCAGTTGCTCCGACAACTGGGTGGCCTTAGCACTGCTAATGGACAGACCCTGCTTGACCAGACCCTTGAGGATCTTCTCCAGGGTGGCCACGCGATCGCGACGGAAGTAGGTGGTTGCCTCCTGGACTATGGCGCCCACGACATCGGGGGTGCTGCGTTCGCCGGGAGCTGCTGCTGCTCCTCCCTCAGCTGCTTGGTCGGCCTCCTCCTCCTTGCCCTGGCGCACCTGCAGTCCCTCGTGGATCTGGCGCACGCATCGAATAAAGGAGGCGTAGTCGTTGGTGTGACTCAGGGCCAGGATCAGGGGTTGCCTGAACAGGAAGGGCACGTAGTAGGCCTTGTTCTGCTCCATGATCCGGGCAGCATCGGCAATCTGGTGGGTGACCAGGGCGGAGTAAACGGCGGAGGTCACGGCCGTCGAGTTGGGCACGCCGGCATCCCTCAGGGCGGTGACAATGCGCTCCCAGTTCTTCTCCTTGAGGTTCGGGATCACGTAGTCCCTGATGGTCTCCGAGTTGGGAAACACGGCAAACTCCTGCTGCATGCGACGGACAATGTCCAGCACCTGGTTCGACTCCGCGGAGCAGATCAGGGGCCAGAAGTAGTGCTGCCTAATGGGCAGCCCGGCATTCTTCATCTCCTGGAGCAGGGGAAGGGCATTGTTCACCACCCCGTTGGTCAGTCCCGCCTCCGTGGCAATGGTCAAGGCCTTGGGATTCAGTCCCTCTCCCTGGAGGGTCCTGCAAATGCTGAGTATCTTCTTCACCGGCCGGTTGGCCTTCACCATTTGCCTGATGAAGAAGGCTCCCACGTCAACGGGCTCGCCGTTCACGCGACTCGTTCGGGGCATCACGCGAAGCAGCTTCAGGCCGACATCCTCGTGTCCCTTGTTGACCAGGCGCAGAATTACGTTCACGGCGTCCTGGTTGAAGCCCGGGGAGAGGCGCAGCTTGGCTAGGACCTCGTCCACATGCTCGCCATTGCCATTGATGGTCAGGGTGTACACGACGTCCAGGAGATCCTTGTCCAGCAGTATAATTTCCTTCTGCTCGCACGCGGCAAGGGTTTCCTTCAGGGCCGCGAGGTCTCCATGGCGGGCAAAGGCGCACAGCAGGGTCGTGTAGGTGTCCGCGCTGGGCTCGAGGCCAGCCTGCTTCATGACGCCCAAGATGCCCTTGGCGGACTCAAGGTCGTTGGCCTGCGAGTGTCCCAGGATCAGGGAGTTGAAGACGTTCTCGTTCACCGGCAGACTCTTGGCACGCATAAACTCCAGGATTCTGGTGGCGCCCTCGATGTCCCCCTGCTGGCAATATCTCGCAATTAGCCTCTGGTAGGTGACCCTGTTGGGCTCGATGCCCTTGGCCTCGATCTCGGCCAGGAAATCGGTGGGTGCGAAGCCATGCTCGTTCTCCAGATAAACTCTAAGCAAGGCATTGTAGTGCGAGATGTCCATGGGCACGTTCAGGGCATTCAGGGTCTTCCAGATCTCCTGCACCAAAGCCGTTCGCACCTCCGGCAACTCCTCGGGTACCAGATTGCCGCAGCAACGAATCACCAGCAGGGACTGCGAGCTGGTGGCCGTCCTGTGCGCGCGAATCTCGTCGAGCACCTCCTCAAGGTCGCGTCGCGAAATGCGACCAATGCGGCGCACATCCTGGTCCAGGCGGCGGATCTGCTTGTCCAGGCTCAGCTCGGCCTTGGCGGCGGCATTTGTGGCAAAGCCGCTGAAATGGAGGGGAAAATCGAATATGCAGTTTTACAGTTACTTATTGCTAAAAAAAAGTGTGTAATATCTGTCGCAGGTCTAAAAACAGCTCCCAAAAGGGAGCTCCTCAGCCCAGATGAGGTTATGTAAACATTAGGTATTACATTTGCCGCACAACCCCTGCTGTTATGTAGCATGCAACCTGCTCCGTAAGCTCCCATCAATGGAAAATTAATCAAATCAATTCCACTATTTGCACAAATATAAGCAGACATTGCGTAATGCCGGTATTTCTAGAACTCACTGCTGGAAGCCGCCGCACATGCAGGGAGCACTGTTGACCAGGCTGCTCGTCTCGTTCTCTCGCACCGAGTTCACCACCACGTTCCGGGTGAAGCCGGCGAAGTAGCGCAGCAGTTTCCCCGTCCTCAGGATGGATGCCATTGCGGGATTTGTGCGGTTTTAATTAATAAATTCAATTTATTATTTAATTTCGAGCCGAGGGCACGAGCGCTAGAGATGTCAGGGCATCGATAAGTTCGATAGCGGCACGAACATGATTTTTGCAAAGTATCGCATACTGAATATCGATACGCGTACCGATTTTACCGTAATTTGGCGCGGTGAGATTGTTATCGATCTGCACCCATCCGTAGCGTCGCAAGCTTGAACAGTTACTTAAAAAATCTGAAATCTGATCAAAGGTGAGCCATTAAATTCGTTTTTAAATACTTAAAACAAACCCCAAATTAACAGGGAAGATGGCGTCGTCGCAATCCTCTCAGGAGCTGCCGCCGCCGCAGCCGCAGGTGTCGCTGAGGAACTGCGGTCTTAGCCCACATTTATTGAAGACGCCGAGCAGAAGGATTCAGGATCCCGGGCTCTGGAAATTCGCGAAGCGAATAAACTCAGAGATTCGACTGGGAGCCCTCGTGTGTCTCGGGTGCTACAAACAATTGAAGGAACTGTACGTAAACAAGATGGCCAATGCAAGGAAGCACCAGGAGGAGCGCGAGGCTCGACAAAACAGCATTTCGGACGTCAGCAGCGTCGGTAACCAGACAGGTGGAGAAGCTTCGCAATCGGTAGCGAGCACCTACTTATCCGATGACGACGATCCGAATTCGAATCTAAGCTTGAATGCTGTTAATGGGACGCGATTGCCGCATATTCAGCCGATACCCAGGAGGCGTCAGTTTCTCGTTCCAAACAAAAAGGTCATGGATATTTACTTGGCCGGGACTACCGGCGGGTAAGCCAGAGAGTCTTACTTTGGGAAAAGTTTCGCAGTGTATTACAAAAATATCCGACTGTAAATTTTGCTGAGAAATATAAAACCAAGTACCTATATAATGGGTAAATAAAAAATATTAAATTTAAATCTAAAATAAAAAAAGTTTATATATTTTATTTGATATTTATTATTATTTTTACTTTGCGAAAATAAAAACATGTTTTGTGTTTGCAAACACAAAAGGGGAAACGCAACTGCACCCATACACAGCGACAGCGAGAGAGATACATACACACACATGAGAATTAAGAGAAACTCCAAGCTTTTAAACTGCTCTCCTCTTGTTGTTCTTGCTGCTGCACGTCATTCCATCACTTTTGTGTTTTTGCAGCGAATTTCGACGCCGACTGCGTTGCTGCCAGTGCTTTCTTTTGTCGCCGGCCAAAGTGAATTTTGGAATTGCATTTCACATTTCACATTTGCGAAAGTTTCGTTGCACACGTCGGTTCGCGACTTTCTGATTCCCTCTCCTAAGCTTTTACGTGCGCGTGTGCGTGCGTTCGGTCATCATACACTGCAATTTGTTGGATTTTTAGGTGTTTTCAAGATTTCTTACTACATATTGGCCTTTGACAGGTGCGATCGGCCTGCCCGTGCTGGCGAAGTTGTCCAACACTGGTAAGAAAAATGATTAAAAATAAAGATTATTTAAAAGAAATGTATGTAGTAGACTGTGCGTATGTATGTTTTCCGCTCAAGTCTCTTGAGAGTGTGTAGAGCGGCAGAGAGAGAGAGAGTGCAGCGAGAAATTGCAATACACACAAACAAATTGCCACGCAAAAGGCGGCCGGCGTTCGCCCCCTTTCTCTCCCAATTCTGCCCTCCCCTCCCCCTTGCACTGAATGCACTTGGTGCGATTCATTTGCTTTTATTACCATTTTTGTCCCGTCTCTCCACGTCCTCTCTCCGTACTTTTTCGCCCCCGTCGTCTTCTGTGCACTTGGCACTTTGTGCGACGGTGGCAACCCTGGTCGGCCAAGTGCGCTGGTGAATAAAGTTAAGTCTCTACCCTTTTATTCAGTGCGGAGCGCGACTTTGAAATGCATGTGCAGCAGCACCGGAAAGTGCACAATTGGCAGTCTGCAATAAACAATTAATAAAAAAGTTTAAACCAACAATAACTCACGAAAAGGAACCAAAAACTATTTCAAATCAACTCTGTGACTGTCTTCAGTGTGTGCGTGGAAAAACAAAAAAATAATCACAACAAAAAATTATCAAGTGCTACACAAAAAACTTACTAATGGATTTTAAAAACTAAAGAAAACACGTTGTTTGCCAAAATAATGAGTGAGAACCAAATTTCAGATATCATAAAAACTAATTTAAGGATGAACAATTAATTAAGTTTTTTAAGCAACGAATCAATAAACCAAATATATACGTTTTGTAGGATAAATGTTAGGAATACTCCCGAAATAATAGTTTTATTATTCATTTCATAACATTAGAACCCAATACAAGAATAAACAAAGTTCAAAATTAAAGAACAAAAATCACTATACCTAAAAAACTAATAAATCATTTTGTGCTGTACTTTTCGCTAAAAAAAGCGTAAGACCCCCTGAAAAGCATTTTAGGAGAAATTTCTAGCTTTAAATATTGTAAACCAATAATAAAAAAGAAAAACCATCTTAAGCTGAATTTTTTCACAAAGAAAACGAATTAAAAGCAATTAAAACGCATTTTCCCTTGCAATTGATGATGACCTACGACAAAGGAAATGAAGTCATACCCATACATACATGCAGGTACACACACACACATACAGACACCGAAAAAGCAAAGTGCAGGCCAAAAGCGAATGGGCAAAACAACAACAAAAACGGAACAGAGGAGCCCACGGGCAACAACAACTTGAAAATTGCACTGCGCATGCACACACACACATACTCTTACAGCGATCTTGCGGTTGTGTTGGTGCGCTTTTGTTCGGTTGGAAGAAGAAGAGAAAAGAAGAGGAAGCAGCTAAAAAAGCGAAAAATAATTAAAATTGGAAAACTAAGGGGTTTTAGGAATTAATATCGAAATCAGATGAATATTTTTTTGAGCACACATTTTCGGAGCTTTTACTTGGTGTTTGCAAATTTTGTCTTATTTTTTAATGTATGTATTTTATCTTATTTATTTTTATAAAAATATTCGTCATGCCAACGGCAGTTGAATGCACTCGGCCTTTGCCTCGAATGGCTTCCCCTTTTTTTGCCTCTGATAATGATAATGCGACGAATCGGAATAATCGCTTTTTCCAATATATATATACGAAATACATATGTATATAGTATGAAATACCAGCAAATGTTTTCCCTTGTGCATAATACAGTTTAAGTTCAAAGTCGGCTGTAAAGAAGGCTTTTTATCATGAAAGTTTGCTGATTTGGGGGTTTTCATGGTCTAGAAATCTATAAACAATATTCTTTACGCTCTTATAAGAGCACAAAATAAGTTTTCAAGTGAAAGTTTTTCTTATTTTCTTACGAGTTTAAACATATAGCTTAAAAAGTTTAATTATCACCTTAGTTTATTTACTGTATTAATATTATAGTGTTTTACCTCTGACTTTAAATTGTATACAAGGTAAAAACAATATCGGTCCCCAAATATTATCATCCATTTCAGGCAAGTAGGAGTACCTACTTACAAGATTTCTTTGTTCCCTATTATAATAAAATATTCAAAATATTTATATTAACTTAATTTAATATTAAAATACTAAGCTCTAACAATTTTTTTATGACCTCGAAGTGCAGTAGTTCTCGTAGAATGGGACTGTTATTACATTTCCTACAAACTAAACACAAACATTCCTTTGTAGTTGGTGTTTCTTCATGTATAGCTCGCAATTTGAATTACTCATCGTATCAGCGGCATTTCCATAGAAATCAAAGCACACAACAAAACGGATGAAAAGCCAATGTGGGGGAAAAATAATTGGTTAACAGAAATCTAAACTATAAAATCGATTAAAGTCATTGGGAAGAAATAATAGAAAGCTTTAAGGAAATCATAAAAATGAAAACGAGTTGGCGACAGTGTAATAAATACCTCTAATCAAAACAGTAAAACATTTCAATTTTATTTATACATAGATTTAATAAATGTCTAACATATTTTCAAAACTAAAATTAAAAAAAAAGTATATTTTTAAGTCAGACTTAATTCAGGTGCTCCTGTATTTCTTCTCTTCTTCCCTATAAAAAACAGTTGGCCAACTATTAAGACAGGTACTTATCAGTAACAGCTTATGGAAAGATTTAGGAACTTGACAAACAAAAATTGAAAAGTGTGAAAACCAAGAAGCAGTGGCAAGCACTTTTCCCATTTTCCTTCATTCGCTTCTCTTAAATTTTGCATTTCCCTTTTTATACCCTTGCAGGGTATTATAATTTCAGTCAGAAGTTTGCAACGCAGTGAAGGAGACTTTTCCGACCCTATAAAGTATATATATTCTTGATCAGCATCAACAGCCGAGTCGATCTAGCCATGTCCGTCTGTCCGTCTGTCCGTCTGTCCGTCTGTCCGTCTGTCCATCTGTCCGTCTGTCTGTTTCTACGCAAACTAGTCCCTCAGTTTTAAAGCTATCTGAATGAAACTTTGCATATAGTCTTCTATATGCTCTCACTGCTATATATGTCGGAACGGGCCGGATCGGACGACTATATCATATAGCTGCCATACAAATGTTCGATATATTTTTAGAAAAAAATTATAACTTTGCTGTTTTTCAACATTTTTGCACCATTTTTTAGATATGGCCACTCTATATTATTTAAGAATTTTGGTAAAAATTTTATGAAAATCGGACGACTATATCTTATAGCTGCCATAGGAACGATCGGGAAATTAATCGAAAAAAATATAACTTCGTTGTTTTTCAACGTATTTTCATCTACTTTAAGTTATAAGCTTTTTTTATTATTCTAGAATTTTGGTATAAATTTTATAAAAATCGGACAACTATATCATATAGCTGCCATAGAAGCGATCGGCAAATGTATAAAATATGTAAAGCTGGGAATGTAAAACTGTAACTGTCAAACTGTAAACATAATAAGTATAGGTAAAATGTAATGAAACTCTGTTTTGTGAGTGTTTTCAGCATTTAAATCTATAATATAAACATCGAAACCAATCTGCAAGGGTATAAAAACTTCGGCGTGCCGAAGTTAGCTTCCTTTCTTGTTTCTGGTTGTGTTTTGGATAAGGAAGAAAGGGATAGCCAGCTGTGGGCGATGGGTGGCGGTGCCAAAAGGACAATGGTTCAAGTGCAAAGAGGACGCCAAGCCGCATGCAACAACGGCAGCAACGAACGCACGAAGGACATGCCATGCAATTCCTCTTCTGTGGTGAGTTTCCGCATATTGCGTATACGCCGTGTATGGTGTGTAGAGCGACCGAGACGGAATGCCCTCAGACAGAGAGAAAGAGAGAGAGAGGGAGAGCGGTGCTATTTATAGAAAGGGAGCTCCGAACCGAGCTCAGCCTTGATTCCGCCCTTGAACTAACATTGCTGGCGAACTATTCCTGTCCCGTCTCCTGTTCCTGTGCGTTTTTTTCTGTCTGTTTCCCCTTCGACAGTCCCAGCCGTCACAGCTGGAAACCAGTCGGCGGAGGGGATATATAGAGAATCGGGGGATATCATCATCATCATCAGCCAGTGCATATGTCGCCAGTCAAGCGGTGATTTTGTGTTTGCGGTTCGCTCTTTCATACTGTCCCATGCATGTCCTTGTTGCTGCCGCCTGTGAACTCAGCGGGCCTTTGACATTGATTTTGTGCATCCTGCGAGCCCCAAACTCAACTCAGCTGAGCTGTCAGTTGCTTATGTCATGCCAAATTTATTTATATGCCGCCCAACACACAGCAAATAATTTGATTGTTTTGCAGACAAAATTAAAGGGAAATTAAGCGGAAAAGTGGCAGTTGTAGTAGTGTGCGTTGAGGAAAAAAAGATATGCTTAAATAAAAATTGTAAATTAAACATACGAATATATTTGAAATAGAATCCCTGAAACAAAGACCGATTTTTAATAATAAGAATCACTCAGCCAAGTTTATTTGCAATTTGAGGAGAACCTTGATTTGTTATTAAACTCTGCATTTGTGTGATATTGGAGATATGGGAGACATTGAAGATATTGGAGAGGTGCTCGATGTTTAGATAGCAGTTGAGATATCAATATTTAGACACCAAAGAAAACATTATATGTGTAGGTTATATAAGCTTTACAAACCAAATGCGAAATTTTAATTTAAAACAAATACTCTTATGGGGTAAAATAAAGCCAATGAACTATTCACATATTTCTTAAATATGTTTTTAATAAATAAACTCATAAAAAAATTAAATATCTATCCTAAACCTCTTTTAAAAATAAATATTTCTCATTAATAACGTACTACTCAAATTTCATATTAAATTCATTGGTTTTTTAGTTTAACATTTTTATATTTAAAAACTTAAATAAACTACTTCAAAATTTTATTATTTCCTTAATTACAATATCTTAGATCTCCAAAAAAAAAGGGAATATTCCATATTCTGTCATTGCAGCCAAGATTTTCTATCTGCATTTCCCCTCGTTTCTTGCCATGCATTTAAAATTGATGCGTAATAAATGCAAAAATAATATGCAAAAAGGCAGAAAAAACGACGATTTTGAGGGAAAAGGCGGAACAAAAGGGGGGGAGGTTGATGAAAAGACAAAAGGAGAAATGGAAAGGCAGCAGCAGCAAACTACAATTGAAACTTGAGCAAACAAAGGGCAGCGTAAAATGTTTGCAAATTGAATTTCAAGTAAATATGAGCAATGCAATGTGAAAAGTAAATACACCGAGAGAAACACAGATGCACAGACACAGAGGCCAGACTCTCTCAGCCATAATAGTTTGGTGTATCTGTGTGGGTTTTAGTATCTTTCGCTGGGTTTCGCTGTGTGTGTGCATCTTTGTATCTATCGAATGCAGTTTGTGCGCTTTAAAAGGAATTCTGTAGTTTATGCATGGGATGCGTTGTCTATATAAAGTTCTGCCTCTCTCTCGCTCTAGTCTTCCCGGCTAGGCCCTCTCTTTTTGCTCTACCTCCTCCCCTCTCCCCCTCTCTCTTTCTGTCTCTCTCTGTTTCTATGACTGTACTGTACGGCGGCCATGGCAACGACGTCATCGCATCATCGCATCGTCGTGCGTTGAGATGCCGAACCTAGCCAGCAATGGCGACGGCGGCGGCCTCTCCGCCACTTACCATCTGCGCCCATCCTCCTGGCCCCCATCATCTCTGGCTGCCATCTCTC